ACCGTACCGCTCAGTGGAAACGAGCCATTAGGGTCTCATAAATACAAGTAGTAATTATGAGTTGTTCAAGGATGTGAACGCTTCTTCCATTCAGTAATTTCAACATGGCGTGAACGCACCTCAACATACAAATAAATAAAATGACAGAATTTTAATATATGCATGAACTACAGTATCCCTTTAGGAGTAAAAAAAAGAGCTAGGTGAAGTACTTTAACCCTTGTGCTGTATTGAAAATCCATTACCTAATTTTTGTTCATGGTCAAAAATGAATCATTTTCAGGTAAAAGAAAATTCTCTCCAGGTCAAAATGACCGAAACACAACATTTGGGTTAAAAACTATGGTGCTGGCTTATAGATAACCAGTAGTTTGTATTAGATAACCAGTAGTACTATCTAATAACACTAAAATTGTACTACTTTTAATTGTACTAAAATGTAGTGCAATAAATACATTCATCACACCATTGCATAAATGCCAAGACAATCTATTATTTGTGGTGCATTAAGAGTGGCCCTTAATTGGTCTTTTGCAATGACATGACATCGTATGGCAATTTATGCAGCAGTGTTTGGTTGACGAGATAACTGGATGACTTCCACATCACTGAGGTGCTGTGATTGGTCAGATTCTGGTGATGTACCTGGATGGGGAAGATTCCCGGGAGAATGGGGCAAGTGATGCCAATGGCCCGGCAGTTTTTGACGAATCTGAGGAAGGTCTCTGCCCTGAAAAAGAGCTGGGTGACGATGAAGTGTGCACCAGCATCCACCTTCTCCTTCAGGTGCCTGAGGTCATTGTCATAGCTCTCTGCCTCTGGGTGGCCCGTCGGGTAACCTATCATTACATTTGTAACGGCTATGTGTTTTTTTGTCAACTTTATCATCCACCAGGTAATGGCAACAGTGATATTTAGCTTAGCAAACACCATTAACTGCTTGTCTTTCTAATGCTCACCTGCAACACAGATATCAAAGTAGTCATCGAATTCACAGCGAATGTGCTTGACCAGATCTGTAGCATAGTTGAAGCCACCATCTTCCTCCACCCAATCTTCCCCAATAGGATCTGCAGAAAAAAAGGACAATTTGGATCAAATCAGATGCGATCATGACGCAGGACTGTTCCAAAAGCTGTAGATCCATGATGGCAGATGGACTTGAGAAATGCTGATTATAAAAATTTTTTAGTATTAGTTCAAACATAGTTTAAAGTACAATCTACTTACAAATTGACTACTTTACCAAATATTTTACATGTAGCAACTGTTGCTGCCATTCACAAGTGTTATGAGGATCCATGACTATTAGGATGCCGGCTTAGAAGGGTTTGAAATAGAGCTTATTTGTTTTTGGAAAATGTGTGGTTTGGACCAAAGTAACAGATTTCAGATCAGTCACCGTTCATACCTCCTCTCAGGGCCATGATATTCTTTAGGCCGAGTCGCTTGGCTTTATTTAAATGGGCTGTTATTTTCTCTTTCGTCTGATTGCAGCATGTCAAATGCAGGACGCTCTCCAGGCCGCAGTAATTGACCGCTGTGCTTGCTATCATCATGGAGGACGTTTCTTTATCTGAGCCCGGATCTCCAGCCGGATGCCAAGTGACGTCGATGAAGAGCGGACCTCCAGAACCCATCCGGTCAAATCTAACACACAAAGAACAAAAAGACCATTCATTCAAAAAACAAACACCATTATTTTTTGCACAACGGTAATGAGAATTTATCTTTTACCAAGGCAAAATAAATATATAGGGGTTGGGCAAAATAATGTGAACAACTGGGAAATAGGCAGTGTTACTTTTTTATAAGGTATTTTACCACCATTTTCCTTTAATTCAGCTTCCAGCCTCCTTAGAATAGATTTATACAACTTTTAAAGGTAGAGTAGGGGATTTCAGAGAGACAAGCAATAGCAAGCTGGCTTTGAATGCATAAGATCCCACCCTCTCTGCAAATCACTCTCCAAAGCCACGCCTCCTGCAGAACACATGACCGCGCACCGGCAGAGCAGAGGCTAACCAGATGAGAGACGGCGCTGGTGGAGGACTGAATGCAATGCTGTCAAATTAGCTCAGTGAGAAAACATTACAGTAAAAAGCACATAATATTACAATAATAACGCCTTCCATTCTCACTCGGTCTGCAATAAAGTAATAAAACTTGCTGATGACGGATCAACAGGGTCAGAAGTTTGCAGGTAGGACAGCCCATCGTAATCCTTGGATGTGATTGGACCAACATTTTATGGTCCTACCCCTTCCGCAGACGATATATATATACACATATAAATACATTTCGACCACTTAACTTAGTGATTGCTATCGGGATATGAAGAGACTTTCAACCAGCTTAACAAAAAATGCATTTAAACCAAATCACCCACCCTGCCTTTAAATAGTCTCCAGTAGGGTTGGGCGATGTCTACCAAATTGGCATCGGACGATGTCTACAGAGAAACATCGTGATGGACGTTGACATCGGGCAGGGGGTGCCAAAAGCGTGAAACAAATAACGCGTTATATGGAGCCACTAAAAGGTTAGCCGCTTGCTAGCGGTAGCCTGTTGCATTACAGTACATGAAAGTTCACTTACCACATACACAGAGTAAGGAGAAATGTCTGATAGGACGATGGCGAATGATTTGCAGATCCTCAGCACCAATGACAAACATCTAATCTTGTAAAATGTGTGGTAGGTACTGCCGCGCCATAGTATAGAGTCCTTGTGATCGCTTAGTACACTTCATTTCCTTTCCGAACACGGAACTGGGATGCGGCGGATTGCGAGATAAGGGGGGTGGGGGGATCATGATGTCAGCTTAACATCATGATGTCTGTCAGCCATCGTCCATCGGCCCAACCCTAGTCTCCAGTTGAATGTTTTCTATCAGAACATCTGCCAGGTTCTTTAGAGATGTTGGTGGATCGGCTTCTTCCCAAAACTAGCCACAGTGGTTTGATAATATTCAAGTCAGTGATTTATCTGGCCAGGGCAGATGTTGGTCTTCATTTTGGTGCTCCGACTCTCCATGTTTTATGATCGTGACACCATCTTTTTTGCATTTCAGCATTGATGTCTGTAATTAAAGTGTTAGCAAAACAGCACTTTCATGGATGTCAGCTTTGTGAAATTATCTGTGGTTGGTTTTTGAGGAAATGAGTGTCATCGGGGTTAATGTTTGCTGTAAACTGAGGTTTGCTGTCACTTTTTCTGCAGTACTTCTGTTTTGCATGGACACAATCATTCCTAGTGCTCAACAGACCCTATCTTTCACTTTTGGTTTTCACCCATGATAAACAACCCAGAACAGGGATGTCGAACTCGGCTCCTGAAGGGCCACAGTCCAGCAGAGTTTAGTTCCAACCTGCTCCAAAACCATACCTGTAACCAAGGACTTGATTAGCTGGATCTGGTGCATTTAATTAAGGTTGAAGCTAAACTTGCCAGGGCTGTGACCCTCCAGGAACACAACTGTTTTTTTTTTTTTTAATACTGTAACCTATGCAAATTATATGAAGGCTTTAGATGCAAAAAACTTTTTTCTTTGAAATGAGCATTTTTATCAGGCTCCCTATTTTCTCACTAGTTTTTTTTTTTTTTCCCCATAGGAGCCTGATAAAAAAGCTAATTTGAAAGAAAAAATCTCAGACTTTTGACAGACTTTTTTGCATTTTAAGTCTTCATATTAAACCCTGGGTGTTCACAATCTTGTTCAACCCATATATAATATATGTCATGTAAGTTTATTTTTGCTTTCCTACCTAGAGATAAGATTGACGGCTCCAGACGCTGTGCGAGGTGGGAAGAACTCCAGGGAGAACCAGTGGTCCCCAGACTCAATCCGTCGCTTCATCTTGTCCCGCAGCCGGTCGGTGCGGTCAGCGTCCAGTACCGGGGTCGAGCACCTGGAGCTCTCTTTGGAGCTCTCTCCGCTGTTACTGACCCCGCTGGAGTCGCTCTTAGAGGACTGCCAACCTACATCAGCTCTCTGGTTCACCATGTTTCCTGAGCCCAGGGGAAATGCAAATCACCCCACAAAACTTTACACAACATGATCCCATCAAGCTAGGTTTACTTTTTTAATGTCTCCAAACTCTATAGACATTAATGACCCTGCCTATGTAGTTTACCACTTATTCAATATTGCACAGTATGCCTATATTTAGCTATTTTTAAAATGTAGTAAGTAAAATGGTATTCAAGATTTTATAAAAAAATTCTTCAACAGTATTATTCATAATTTATCTCATAAGTGTGCAGAATCCAGCTATAATCCTGCATATAAAAACTGTTATTTTGCATTTTCAGTTCAATTTCATGTAAAAATGTCTTAACATTTGGCAGTCTGACCCTATAATAGGTCAACAGAGCGATGTGTTAAAAAATTGCAGACGTAATGACTTCCAAACAATTTGTCTGTGTGGAAATGCAAAGTCAGTCCCACTGCAATGTGGGATATAGTATCCAGAGTACAGTATGTTCTCATACTGTTCACATGACATTTGAATCTATAAATCGTGTAAAAATCTTATTTCAGTAACATATGTGATTGAAGATATTAGATGATTAATATATTTTTAGTAAACAGAATTTAACACATTATCATTATAATGTTCCACTTAAATTTTTTATTTAAAGTTTACTACTTGAACATTTATTACTGACAGCTGAAATAATCAGTACTAATTGTCTCTTAACCACTGTCACAATCACTCTAGCGTTACTGCATTAAAGTCAATATTACGATCAAGCCTTTTTCGAATTTGATAATGACACTCTTATGGTATATGCACGTGTTATACCAAAATATTTAGTATTTTAGTATTAGTTTATTAATTCATCCCGATCTCGCACGTCTCATAAAAGTAAATAGTTAGTAATACATGCAAATGTTAAAAAAGCATAATAGAGTAACTTATAAAGCGCTCTATGAATAAAATGTATTATTCTTATTTATCATTCATGACCATCCTATTTTTGCATGAAGACTTATGAGTCCATAACGCGCATACTTTACATATAAGGAAGACAAGTTCATTCATTCAAAAGGATGTTGCTTTTGAAAGACACTATTTTTAAACAGACAATCAATGCAAGCAGCAATCAGGGATTTATATGACATGATAACTCGCTTTCGGATTGATTTGTGCATCTTTTGATGTTGTCCATAGCTCGACCGGGACATGCGGCTCCGCGTGACAGCACCGGTCCCTTTAATTAGCCCAAACGAAACCGAAACACTCATGCAGACCCAGTAATAGTATTTAAAAAACGCCTTTAACTCCATTACCTTCAACCTTTTCCCAATCCTCCAGGAGTTATGAGAGGAAAGTGCAGTCCCAGCTACACAGCGTGCGCGGACAGCATGGACGACAAAGAGGCTGGCGTGTGATTGTCAGACCACGCCCCCTTCGTGCGGGGCACGCCCACTCTCTACCATACGACCTTCCCATTGGATGCAGGGTCTGTCATCGCTTATGATGTAAACACACCACATGTACTCATTAACAATTAAATAAACTACACGCGCAGATACGCGCACGTCCACACAGAAAAAAAGAAAAGTTAATAGATTTATCCAAACTCTTCTCTGTCATTTGAAGTCTTTCGTTTAATTTCACATTATATATTTGTAATACACATGAGCTTGGCCCATCCTGGAAACTCTTAGCGCCCCCAATGCATCCACACTCCCAACCCCCACAAATGCATGGCCCACAGCTCGATGGCCCATTGTGAACACATGATTATGAAATAAAAAGTCGAAATTCTGACATAAAAAGTCGAAATTAAGAGATACTAAGTCGTAATCATGAGATAAAAGTAATGAGATGAGATGGCATGCCAACTAATTATGACTTAGTGTCTCATGTTTTTGACCTTTCGTGTCATAATTATAATTTGAAATAATTTCGACCCTTTATCTCATTATGTTGACTTTTTTGTCATAATGATAATTTACTAAAGCATTGGCTTTTCGTATGTGGCGGTCGGAAAAGGGCTTCTTCCATCACTGATCTATATATTATATATTATGATCTATATTTTTATAGATCAGTAGTCAGTGGTTTATATGTTATAGATCAGTAGTCAGTGGTTTATATGTTATAGATCAGTAGTCTATACAGAGCTGGGTAGTAACTGATTACATGTAATCTGGATTCCAAAAATTAAGTAGGCTACTCCTAATTACATTAAATTACATTTTAAAATACTCGTAATCAGACTACAGTTACTTTTTTATTGATTACATGATTACAAATTATTCACACAATTGCAGTAAATTATTCATAATTTATTGATTCTCCCTAATTCTTCTTCTTCTCTCTCTCTCTCTCTCTCTCTCTCTCTCTCTCTTAAAATTGTCCCTTCTAAAAAAAGGTCTACTTTGTGTCATATCATTCAGCTTTGAATATTCACAATATAGAATGGCCGTGTAAATGTAATGCGAATTAATGTGCAATCCATGCTTGAATTTGGGGACAACGCACCTCTCAGTCAATTATACAATGATGAATAATTACGCAAGTTACTAAACTGACAAACATATCTAAAACTCTGAAGACTTTGTCTATGTCATTGCTGTTTTCATGTTTATTCATTTTTGTTCATGTGATGCAGAGATTCCCAAACTTGGCAGTCAAATCCCTTTGACCTAAAATATTTACTTCAAGTCCCCCTGAGATTGAAAGTTAATATTTCAATTAATTAATGACACATTTAGATGTTTACAGCTCTCTGAGATTGGTTAATCGTCACATTAGCATGCAGTTAAACAAATAAAATATTTCAAATGTAAAAATTTAAGTCATCTCAAAGTAGGGCTGCATGATAAATCGATGGTATTTTCACATGCTTTCAGATGGAGCAGCATTTACTTCACAGAGCCGTAGTTCACTGAGAAGCTATGCAAACAGCTGTCATTATCGTGAACGATTTCTTCGATTTCAGAATCGCGCAATTAAATCGTCTGCGATTTTTTTTGCGTAGCTTGTCAGTGAACTACAGCTCTGTGTAATAAATGCTGCTCCATCTGAAAGCACGTGATGATGATGTACTGCTGATTACAGAACCGGCATTACTGACAAAGTGCGCATGTTAATCGCATTCGATTAATCGTGCAGCCCTATCTCAAAGTAATCCCGAAGTAGTCAGAATACATTACCTAAAATTAGTAACCTAAATTACATTACTGATTACAATTTTCGTAATGTAATTTGTAATCAATAACAGACTACAATTTATAAGTAATCTACCCAGCACTGTCTATATATTATAGATAAGTGGATTGCATAAATACGGTAAATACGGGTGCATACAGATTTTGCGTTAAAGCTGCGCATCTGGTGCGCGCTTGAGTCCCTGGTGTCTGCGTTAAAGCTGCGCATCTGGTGCGCGCTTGAATACTCCCGCTGGCCTGAGCGATGGTCATGTGATCAGCTGCGCTCTAGCGGTGTGTTGCTGGAGATGATGGCGTGCTGTGGAGGCGGTTTGTGTTGTCAGTGCTGCTGCAATGAAGGCGACACAAGAACACCAGAGGAGTTGGTATACAATATTTTATGTGTGTTATCTGTTTCCTAACGCAAAACGCCTTGTTGAATGAAACGTGAGTTCATTCTGACGCTGTAAGCTATGCTTGTTCATCTGTTGTTCTCCACCCAAAGTCACTGTAACGTTAAACAGCCTGATGTGAATCAAGTGTACGTTAACAGCGAGTCTAGCGATCAAACCTGTCAGTCTAACGGTTTCTGAATCTAGTCTGTTCATTGTCTAGACGATATTGTTGGTCATGTTTTGGCCAGTGCAGCAGTTTTGGACAATATGTCATGTAATTTGGGCATTATATCACCAAATCATTGTCATCGTCTCGTCAGGTTATGAGACACACCCTGTATTTCTTGATATAATGATGATTAACCTGATTTAATATCGTTAATGTGTTCTTTATCATTGTAAAGTAATGCTAATATTGTTGACAAATCTTTTGAATCTGGCATTAATCTAGGTATGATAAAGTGAAATGTCAGAAATGTGCTCAGAAACAGTCACCCCATTGTTTCGAGTCGTCACAGGCCATCTGTTCATTTTGAGGACTGAGATCCTGATATTATTGCTGCCTTTTGCTTGTTAGACAATACTGGGTGAAACCAGAGAAGATGAGGATGAAATATTGCCGAGAAAAGACTATGAGGTTAGTGAGTAATGGACGGAAGACTTGAAACATGATCGTTTGTCAGATATGTTGGAAAAAAATATATATGAATGCTGCCTGTCTTTATTCATATTTGGCATTTCAGAGTTTGGATTATGACCGATGCATAAATGAGCCATTCTTGGAGGTTTTGGAGGGGTTGGATAATAAGGTAAAACGTGTGATGTGATGCTCTCATTTATTATATTCATATGATCGCAAGTCCCTGTTTGCCAAGTGTATTATCTCATTTCTTTTACAGAAAGCCAGAAAGTATGAAGCGATAAAGTGGATTTTGGTTTTTGCGATTGGAGTATCAACAGGACTGGTAAGCTTTGGGGTGGTTTATGCATCTGAAGTCGTTTTGAAAAGGGGTCATGGCACCAATACAATGGCGCATGTTGTTTTTATACCCTACTGGAGAATGAGATTTATAGCAAATTATAGATCTCACTACTTCATCTGGCTAAAATCAAGTGTCACTGGGATATAATAAAAGAACGATATGAGAAACAAGAACTAATGTCTTTGTTTTCAGATGCGAGATTACAAGAAAGTCTGCAATAAATTGATCAGTTTAGTTTATACTCTCTGAAGTCACTTATATCAAGTCTCAGAGCCTGGCAGTTATGATGGAAAAATTGTGTCCACGATATTAGCATTATTTGGTATTATGTAGTGTTTACAGTTAGTACATACAAATGCCTACACATGTATTTAAACTTTATTTTTTTAAATCGTGCTGTCAAACGATTAATCGCGATTAATCGCATCCAAAATAACAGGTTTTGTTTACGTAATATGTGTGTTCTGTGTATATTTATTATGTATATATAAATACACACACATACAATATATATTTTGAAAATATTTACATGTATATAATTATATTCATATAATTTATATCATATATTAAATATATAAACGTAACATATTTTTCTTAAATATATACATGCATGTGTGTATTTATAATAAATATACACAGTACACAAACATATATTATGTAAACAAAAACTTATTTTGGATGCGATTAATCGCGATTAATCGTTTGACAGCACTATTT